CTTGGGGCGATCCTCGGAACCTCCCGTGGCGTCTTGCAGAGTCGAGAAGCGGAACAGGCGGAAATGCAGAAATTGCTCACGAACTCAAGGAAAATTACTGTTTTGTTGCCTCTTCGAGCTCTGTTGGGAGACCTCTTGGAAGCCTCTTGGGTATCTTGGAAGCCTTTTTTGGGCCGTCTGGGGGACGCCTTGGGCGTCTACGACCGTCTAGCGGCCGCCGACCCATCCCGCCACAGTGCCTGGGTTGTGGGTGAAAGGCCTGTTGGAAGTTCGTCTGGATGTCGCGGGAGCCCGGGGGCCTGTTGGAATCAGCTTTGGACGCCTCATGGGGGCCGTTTGGGGGCCTCTTTGGGGACCTTTTGGGGGTCTCGTGGGGTCTCTAAGGGACCGTTTGGGTTCCCTTGGGGGGGGGCTCCACGGAGCCCCTTGGACAGAAAGCTCGAATTGATGGTTCGTGTTCCCCGTCTTGGGCCCTTCTTGAAGCCATTTTAGGGTTCTCTTGGGCGATCTTCGGCGCCTGTTGTGCTGTTTTGGGGCCCTCTTGCACCGTCTTGGAGCCCTCTTGGGGCCCTCTTGAAGGCCTTTTGGGCCATCTTGGGGCGGCGCCGGGAGCCTCTGAAACCATCCTGGAACGTCGGAAGCTCATAAAACGAGAACGCGGAAGAGAAAACAAACTAACAAACAACAGCAACACATATATATATATATATATATATATATATATATAATAAACAAAAAACTGCGACGGTCGGACCCCTCAAGAGAATGTGCCTAGCTTGCCCTTAGCCTTGACCTCTTCGCCCTGGCGGACACCCTCCTCTCGACCTCTGCTCTGCCCTCTCCCCTCCTCATTTGATTGTTGTCCCTCCTCCTCCTCCTCCTCCTCCTCCTCCACCTCCTCCTCCTTCTTTTCTTCCCCATCATCATCGTCATCATCATCGCCCCCCCCTAATTACGCCTTCCCCCCTCCTCATCCTCCTCCTGCCTCTCCTCCACGTGCACATCCCGTCGGGGCAAGCAAATCAATGTTCCTCGGCGCCGTCGCCGCCCCGGCCAGCGCGCGAGCGTTCGCCGAAGACTCGGTCGCGAAGCTTTTGGGGCAACACCGCGGGTCATGCCTTTGGGGCAACCCCGCGGGCCGCCGGGGCGCGCGGGCAGGCCGCCGGGGCAACCCCGCGGGCCAGGCCGCGGGGGCAACCCCGCAGGCCCCGAGGTAGGCGCGACCGCGCTCAGGCGGGGGACAGCGCGAAGCCCAGCCGCGCTGCGAGCGGTTCCGCCTCACCTCTGGAGGTCTGCGCATTCTCATTGAACGTCTTGAGCGCCCTCCGGTAGGACGCCGGCGGCCCGCGCTCCAGAATCTCGCGAGAGGGCGGCCGCAGGATCAGCGTGTTCCGCACGCGCGTGGCGCGGAAGAACACGACGTAAACGGGCAGCCACCACAGATCGTCCGACATGCCCGAGCGGCCAGCATCCTCGTCCCTTGCACAGTCGACGGTGAAGCCCTTGCACAGCGCGTGGCCCTGCGACAGCGCGGGGGTGAGGTAGGGCGCGCGCGTCAGGGTGGACCCCGAGCGGCGCGCGACGTGCGGCCCCAAGCTCTGCCACGTGAGTTTCCGCTCGCTGGGCCTGAACATGAGCGAGCTCTTCACCCGCGCCTCGACATCGCCGTCGTCGTCGGCGTTTTCGGCGCCCTGTCGCAGCAGCTCGGCGACCTCCTGGTAGATCGGAGACTCCTTGAAGCCGTGCACCTGCAGCCAGATTCCCTGCGGCAGCGGGAGCAAGAGAGCTGGCCTGGCGCGCACTCCCCGTACTCCGAGCATGGCCCGAGGAACCTAGAAGTGACGACAGTTACGAGATTCGCATGGCCTGAGGAAGCCGAAAGTGACGACAGCAACAAGATTCGGATGGCCCGCTCGGATTACCAACATGAAGAGCGGGCCCTACAGGGAGGGGCCTCCCGCCTGAGACTTCCTCAACAAATCACTCACAAACAAGGCTCCCGCTCGAGACTTTCTCCATATTCAGGCCTGAAGAGGCTAAAAGTAAAGACAGGCACACGATCCCGTTGACCCGCTCGGACTACCAACATGAAGAGCGGGCCCCAGAAGGAGAGAGCTCCCGCCTGAGACTTCCTCGAAATTCACGCACACACGAGGCTCCCGCTTGATTCCTCCAGATTCATGCCTGGGGAAGCCAAGAGTGACGACAGCTACACGATCCCGACGACCCGCTCGGATTAATAACGTGATCTGCGGGCTCCATAGGGAGCGGGCTCCCGCCTGAGATTTCCCCGCAATTCACTCACAAAAGAGGCTCACGCTCGATACTTCCTCCATATTCAGGCCTGGGGAGGCCAAACGTGATAACAGTTACAGAATCCTGACGAACCGTTCGGATTAGTACCATGGTCTGCGGGCTCCATGGGGTGGGGGCTCCCGCCTGAGATTTCCACGCAATTCACTGGGTGGTAGCTATGAGTGAGTGAGTGAGTGAGCCGCTCTGGAGAAGAATGTGAGCGAGTGGGATAGTGAATAAGTTATGAATGAATGAAAATGATCGGGGGGGTATGAGTGAATGTCTTAGTGGTGATGCTGTGGTGGTGATGATGATATGAGCGTGTGCGTATGAGTGAGTGAGTGGTGAGGAAGACAGGGAGTAGAAGAAATCCTGCGCGGGGGGGTGCAGAGAAAACAAAAAAACACTTAGCTTTGGATGTGAGAAAACCGCACGGAAGTCACTGACCTGTGCCTTTTTAGGCCGTCTTGGGAGTCCTCTTGGAGCGCTCTTGGGGCTTCTTTCGGACTTGTTGGGCCTTCTTGGGGCCATCGTGGGCGTCTCGGAACGCGCTTGGGCTGTCTTGGAGGCCTGTGTACCCTAATGGGCGCTATTATGGAGCCCTCTTGTCCCGTCTTGGGGCGCCCGTTGGCCTCTCCGGGCCGCCTCTGAGAAGCAAACCGGGAGGATATTAAAAAGACTTATGTATGTATGTATGTAAATATAAACGCATACTCAATGTAATGTAAATTTGTTATGGAGCGCTGGACAGCTGTTTCATTCAGGGCAGGCGTCAGGCAGACCTAGGACGAAGATGACTCGCTCTGGAGCGAATTATCTTCGTCCTGGGTATGCCCGACGCCCGCCAGCTGTCTGTCCGATCGGTGGGCCACGAGAGCGCGGTCGAGAGGCTGTCCGAGAGGACAGCCGGTGATGGGAGCCTTGCCGAGCAAGAGGGAGGCGTGGAATGAAGAGTCGGAGTGCGGCTTCACCGAAGCGGGAGGCCTGAGGAGCTCCCACCCCAAACATTCGACCCCACCACCCCTACCCACACCTCCAGAAAAGTATCTGCCATCGTGCCTGCCCGATGTGGGCTTGTCGGAAAGCCCAAGTCGGTGCTCTGAAAGCTTTCTGGGCTCCCCCCCCTCTTCGTACCACCACCTCATTGTATGCACCGCCCCTTGAATTCCAAGCCTCTCGGCCCGTGGCACGGTGACAATAATTTGCCACGGACTTCTGGACATCCTACATTTCTACACCGGACGCCAAAACGAACGGCGAAGAGAACAGAGGGCGTGATGAGATTGGCCCCCTGCTAAAACGAGTTCGTCTACGGCTGGTGCTTCGAGAATGTGCTGTGCTGTGGCATTTACAAACAGGTTGTGAGGGTTGGCCACTACCACCAAGGGGTATTACCGAGCCTGCGCATCAGATTCGTGACCAGTTCTGGGCCACTTCCAAGAGGGGGGGCCAAGAGGTGGGGGGAACCTCAATGAGGACGATACACGGCACGAGCCGTTGGCCACAGCGCCGTACATCGCAGCCTCATGCTGGATGGGATGGGCGCCGAGCGAGCCCAGCAGCTCCTTCTGAGCTCGCTCGCACTGCCCTGATGCATGCCGGGCCCTCCGCAGCGCAAGCATGATAGCAGTCGACTGGGCGGCCTCGTTGGAAGAAGAAAGGGAAGACGACGAGGGGAAGAAGAAGAAGAAGAAGAACCAGCGTCAACGTAAGCATAAACTGCTGGGGGCCCGCGCAGGTCTCTTGGATCGGAGCTGGGCCCCCGCCCCCGGCGCGCAGCGCGCGCCAGGGGCGGCGCTGGAGGCGACGCCAGGGGCGGCCCATCGCCGAGCCGAGAAATCCGCGCGGACCTCTGGAAAACGCTGCTTATGCACATGTGCCTTTTCTTCGGCCCTGGCACCGGCCCCCGGTGCCCCCCGCGCCGCGCGACGATCTCCTTTTTCTATTTTTTTCCTCTGCGGTCGGAGCCGCTGGGGCCAGGATCACCCGCACCAGCCCCGCGGCTCGAGTCATGCAGCGCTGGCTGCCAGCGAGCCCTCCGCCCCCCTCCCCCTTCCTGGTAGAAACGAGGCTGACCACCCCAGAACTCCAATCGTTCCAACTAAATCGCGGCGAAGGTTTCCTCCCGTTCTCGGCCTCCGGTCAGAAGAGCGACTCGCGACAGACCACTGGCCCCGGGAGAAGGTCGAGAGAACCCTGGGGGTCCAGGCTGCAGCAACAAAACCAACAACAAAAGCATTGGTGGTGGTGGCCGGGATCCCCCCCTGCCGATCCCCCCACCCTCCTGTCCTCGCGCATCCCCCGCTCACCGCTCACCGCTCTACCCCCACCTGGGAGCCTCCCCCGCCCCGCCCTGCCGATCCCCCTCTCTTCGCTCGTCCCCCGCTGCTCCCCGCCTCCCCCCGCGCCCGCGGCATGCGTGCCCACGGGGGCCACGCTGAGGGCAGCGCCCCCTCGGGAGGAGGGCCAAGCCGAGACAGGAGGAAGCCCCGCTTGGCGGTTGCGCAGCTCTCTCTGGGCCTCCTGGAGGCTTCCCGTCGGCACGGCCGGATCGGGATGGGGTCTGCGGGCCGGGCAGAAGAGCCGCCGTTGTCTCGACTGGCCCTCCTGCGAGCTCACGTGGCGCAGGAAGACAGGCGGTGCCACGACGCGTGGCGGGGTCGGAGGGCAGAGGGAGAGGGGAAGACGCCTGCACGAGGCCCCCCTCAGAGCTCGAGGGCCCAGGCCTTGAGCGCGTCCAGGCCTCTCAGCTCGTTCAAGAAGCCGTCCAGCGTCTGGGCCGACGGGTCGGGGGCGACGAGGACGGCGACCGGGACGCCGATGAGGACGACGGCGATACGACGACGACGACGACGACTCTGAGAACGAGGCCGACGACGACGACGACGGAAGACGACGACGAAAGCTCAGACGACGACGAAAGCTCAGACGACGACGACGACGACGACGACGACGAAAGCTCAGACGACGACGACGACGACGACGACGACGACGACGACGACGACCACGGCGGCGGCGGCGGCCTCGAAGCCAGCGACGTCAGTGAGGGGGAGATCCTTCGTCTCATGGTCGCACTGCTGCTGGCACGCCTTCTCGAAGTCCCCGCGGCGCTCCTGGAAGTGCTCCTCGGTCGCGCCCTCGTGGTCCTTGCACAGCTTGAGCGCCGCCTGCACGTCCTCGTTCTCAGGGTCCACCAGGTGCATGCCCTTCTCGCGGAAGGAGTAGCACGGGTCGAAGAACGCCCGGCGCGTGTGGGCCATGCACGTCTCCATGCACTCCGGGTGCTCGGCCGGCTGCAGCGCCCTCTCCAGGTCCTCCAGGGTCTCCAGCGGCGGAGCCGGCGTCGCGCCGGGCAGCGGGCTGAAGTAGCCGCTGGTCACCGGCAGCCCGAGCAGCCCCACGACCACCGCCAGCCGGCGCGCGGCGGCGCGGGGGGAGGAAGCCGCAGCGGGCACCATGCCCATCATGGCGGCGCTGCGACGGTAGACGAGGGAAGCCGAGGGGGGAGAGGAACTGGCTCGGCAGGGCACAGAACAGCAGTCAGGCCAGCGCTGGGATCCAAGGGAGTTGCCCGAGTGCCACCAGGGCCGCCCGAGCACTGACCCGACCAATCGGCCGTGGGACTGCTGCCTCAGGGCCAGTGAGCCAGCTCAGTGCTCCAGCCTCCTGGGCATCACCGAACTCAGGCCCCAAAGGGGACTGAGGGGCATCGTGGGCCCAGAATCGGCGATACATCGCCGACACATCGGCGAGAACGGCCCCTGATCGCGGAAACGCGATCTCCTGGACGTGGCAGGCCGCCCCAAGCTGCGAGCGGCGATGCACGGACGATCGGGGTCGACTGAGCCAATCCTCCCCCCGCTCTCGGTGCTGCCCCGGAATAATTATCTAGTGGGCAGGCGTCCGTGAGAGCCAGAAGCGGAACGCCGAGGAGACAGCCTGGCTCGAGCCAGAGGTTGTCGAGTAATGAGGTGCTCTTGGACAGGGAGAAGGGGGGGAGACTAGCAGGGGGTAGGCCAGGCAGTAGGCGTGGGAATACGAGCAAGCAGGAGTCAGAGTAGAAGCAGGAGTCTAAAGACCCCCCCCAAAAGAGAACTGTCAGGGGCCGACGACTATGGAGTAGGTGTGGGAGTATGAGGAAGAACAGTTGGTGTGGGAGTCAGAGTGAAAACACCACCGAACACGAACTGCCCGAAACATTTTCCATTGTGTCTCAAGATTTCCCTGGATGGATCGCCGCCCAAACTGCTCAAGATGCTTCAAGATTATGCCCACGCGTGTTCCTCCGCGGGCAACCCAAAACGAGCCAAAAGCACCCGAAAGCCCCCCAACACGGCCCAAAGAACGTTGAGCAGGCCGCGCGTGGCTTCCAAGACACGAAGCCCCTGACACACAAAAAACTCAACAGCAACATAGGCAATCTGGTGAGAGGAATCGCGGCCGCATTCTCGGAAGCGTAGACTTCGAAGCCAAGGCGTTCTTTGCGGAAGGCGCGATGGGGGTGGCATGTCGTATGGATAAAGGATACACACTTTTAACATTCAGCAAATACAAGCGTAACCGTGCGGCCCAGGCCTGCGGCTCCGTCTGGCGGATTCCAGAGGTCAGGAGGAATCAGAATGTGAGGAAGTAGAAGAGTGGAGCAGCAGGAGGAAAAGGATGAACAGAAAGAAGGAAGGAGATAGAGGCTGCTTGGGTGGCCTGGCCCTCACGCAGGCTTTAGACGTAAGGCACTCTCGGTGCTAACCTGGAGAACCCAAAACCATGCCGAAACAGAAGTTCGGTTGGACCGTCTTGGGGAGACTCCTGGCGATTCTTGGACCCTCTATCTCCGTATTGGCGCGTCGTGAGGCCGCTTGGAGGACATTATGAGCCGTCTTAGCTCCCTCTTGGACAGCATTGAAGCTCTCGTGGGGCCTCATTGGCCATTACTTCGACCTTCCTGGGGCGTCTGGGGCTACTGATACTGGGCCGTCTTCAGCGCTCCAAAAGTTGTCTTATGCAAAAAGGCCCCAGAAGCAACGAACATGGGAAACCTTATTGTTATTTGATGGTTTGGGCCTCGCAGGTCTTGGGGCCTCTCAGCTGCGTGCTGGAGTCTACCTTGAAGTCTGCTCGCGTGGTCGGACGGCGTCCGAAGCTAGGGAGTGCGCAGAAAAAAATGAAGGAGGGAAGGCACTGAGGGGAAGGAGGGCCAGGAGGGGAAAGAGGAAGGAAAAAGAAAGAGGGGAGGAGCAAGAAAAGCAGGAGAAGGACGAAAAGAAGGAAGAGGGCGACGACAACGACGACGACGACGACGAACGACAACGAAAAGGAAGACAAGAGGGAGGGAGAACGGAGGAGGCAGAGTCGTGAGGAGTGAGAGGAGGATGAAGGAGAGGATGACGAGAAGAAGGAGAAAAAGGGAGGATGAGGAGGAGTAGGTGGTGAGGAAGAGGACGACGAGCGGGCCGGCCCCCAGCACTGCCGAAAATCTGCGCGGTGGAGCCTCCTCCTCCTCGTCCTTCGCCTTATGCTGATCATCCATCATCCTCATCCTCATCCTCATCCTCATCCTCATCCTCATCCTCACCCTCACCCTCACCCTCACCCTCATCCTCATCCTCATCCTCATCCTCATCCTCATCCTCACCATCATCGTCAGCGTCATCGGCATCGTCATCGTCGTCGTCATCAGCAGCATCGTCAACAGCAGCAGCATCACTACCACCACCAACACCAACACCATCACAACCACTGCCACCACCAACACCAACACCAACACCCAACACCCAACACCATTATCGTCATCACCATCGACGTCATCATCACCACCGTCGCTCATCATCGGCATCATCATCGTCATCGTCATCATCATCACAACCCATCATCATCATCACCACCACCACCATCATCATCATCGTCATCAACATCAGCAGCATCGTCATCATCATCGTCATCGCCATCGTCGTTCTCGTCCTCATAATGTTCGTCCTCGTCGTCCTCGTCCCTTTCGTCCGCCTCCTGCTTCGCTCCCTCAGCATCCTCCTCACAATCAGCATCGCAATCACCATCAACACCGGAAGCATAAGACTCGTCATCCGTCAGCATCGTCATCAGCAGCAGCATCACCAGCATCATCACCATTACCATTATCAGCAGCAGCATCACTGGAATCCTCAGCATCAAAACCATCATGATCATCCGCAGCATCAGCACCACCTGTGTCATCTCATCATCACCATCAGCATCGCCATCATCAACAACATCGTCATCATCATCGTCGCAAGCACCATCATCATACCAATGCTTACCATAAGGCTAACATCAACAAGCATCACAACATGATCACCATCAGCACCATCAGCATCATCGGCGTCATCATCAGTATCAGCATCATCATCTTGGTCAGCAGCATCAGTACAATTATCATAAACAGCCTCATCGCCATCAGCAGCACCATCATCGCTACCATCGGGACCATCATCATCAGCATCATCATGATGTGCAGCCCACCCAGGAGTTTCAATCCGAAGAGCGAAAAGTGCTGCAATATATAGTTCGCTGACACAACTCGTTATATTTGCATGCTCTCGGCGTGCAGCCGCCGAGGCTATTGGCTTCGGCGGGCACACGCACACCCAGGGCCCCACAAAACACGCCAAGAACCTCCTCGTTCCTAGAGGCTCCGACAGGCTCCATTCTGGAAAATCCACGTTCCCCCCAACTGTACACCTCCACATCAGTACCCATTCTCTACTCTCGTGAACCCATCACCATGATCGTCATCATCATCATCATCATCATCATCATCATCATCATCATCATCATCATCATCATCATCATCATCATCATCATCATCATCATCATCATCATCATCATCATCATCATCATCATCATCATCCTCCTCATCATCATCATCATCATCATCATCATCATCATAATCATCAGCATCATCGTCATCAGCAGCATCATCATCATCATCATCATCATCAGCAGCATCAGCAGCATCATAATCATAATCATCATCATCATCATCGTCATCGTCATCGTCATCGTCATCATCAGCATCATCATCATCATCATCATCATCATCATCATCATTGTCATCATCATCATCATCGTCATCATCAGCAGCAGCATCAGCAGTATCATCGTCATCATCATCATCATCAGAAGCATCATCATCATCATCATCAGCATCATCATCAGCATCATCAACATCATCATCATCATCGTCATCATCAGCATCATCATCATCATTACCATCGTCATCGTCACCATCATCGTCATCATCATCATCATCATAATCATAATCATCAGCATCATCATCAGCAGCATCAGCATCAGCATCAGCATGATAATCATCATCAGCATCACCATCGACGTCATCATCATCATCATCATCATCATCATCATCATCATCATCATCATCAGAATCATCATCATCATCGGTAGCATCATTACCATCATTTACAGCATCACCATCCCCAACATCATCATCATCATGATCATCAGCAGCATCATCATCATCATCAGCATCATCATCAGCATCATCATCTCCACTATCATCATCATCCAACAACAGCAGCAGCATCAGCATCGGCATCAGCAGTATCACCATCCTCAGCAACAACAACAGCATCATCAGAAGCAGCAGCGGAACCATCAGCATCAGCATCATCGGCAGCATCATCATCAACATCATCAGCATCATCGGCATCATCATCATAAGTATCATTATCATCCTCATCGTCACCCTCAGCATCACCATAATCTAAACACCATCATCATCATCTTCAACATCACCATCATCACCACCATCATTGTCATCATCGTCCTCGGTATCGTCATCATCCTCATCATCACTACCATCATCACATCAATCTCAACCAGCAACATCAACATCATCAGCATCATCAACACCATCATTAACCTTCTAATATCCCACACATCCTCTGCACACGCCGCGTGGGGCTCCATGGAAGGGCTCCTGAACTGTCGTGGAGACCCTCAAGCTTATCATCGGGCTTCATGGTTCTGGGTGGGAAGGGAGAAGAGGGGCGACGAGGACAGAAGGCTGGAGGGAAACTGTCTGGGGCTGCGGGCCCACACGGGAGGTCATCTTCAGGTTCTGGTGGGGCCCCCCGCTTGGGGATCTCTTGGGGCTCTCCGCCTTCTTGGCACGTCTTGAAACCGCGTCTGCATGTGCATACTATGTACCTGGAGCAACCTAGTAGAAGGTTGCTTTGCACGGACAAGCAAAAGACCCTGGGCTGGCTGGTTGGCTGGTCTGGGCCGACTGGCTGGCTGGTCGCGCGATATGCGAGGGACGGCTAGTTGGGCGGTCTACGTCGAGCGGTCGGTTGGCTGGTCTGGGCTGCCTAGGCTGGCTGGGCAGTGGGAGGGGCTAGTTACTGGCCAGACTGGTCGGCCCCTGGCGACCACTCGCCACAAAGACACAACACCTGTCTGGCACAGGAAGTGC